CGATCTGGCCGAAAGCCGTCGCGGCCGGCCCGGCCGCCCGGCACCGCGGCCTCGCCGGGCGGGGCGGCGCCGCCGGCGTCGGGGGCCTTCTCGTCCAGAGGCGCGCCGCCTGCGGGGCGCCACGGGCGGGCAGAGCCAGCATGCGGCCCGCCCATCTCATGGGCGCTTTGAGGTTCCAGGCACGAGCGAGTCGTAGACACAAAAAATCAGGACGGGAGGTTTTTTTGCGGGTTTTCGGCCTCGGGGGGCACTCGCTGGGCCACCTGGGGAACGCCAAAAAACGATCGGGGTAAAAAACGGCCCCGGGGAAAGGGTCTGGACTTCAGGGGACGCAGTCCTGAAAAAATCAAGACGTCGCATGTCTGGGGCTGGAAGCTGGAAGCCATCGGCTCTTGAAGTAGAAGCGCGCCTACATGTCACAGGGATCTGCAGATAGCGGCACCTAGCCTTTCCCACTGCAACAAGCTAGCACCTTTGCCTTGCATTGGCACTTCCGTGTCACAATTGTTAGAAGCACCAGCGCAAAGAAGTCTAACATCTGACCTCAGGCTTTCAGCAGGCACCAAGTAAATCACTGTCGAAAACCTTTCCCCTCGCCCACCTCCGTCACGCCAGCACTACTCGAAAGAGTGCCTGGGTCAAAACTGCGAGCAGCCTGTAACTCACTCACTCGGGATGGTTTCCCCGTGTTTCCCTACGCAACGTGTCTGCAACATTTCTACAATAGGGCCTGGCGGGGCCCGGCCCTGCTGGACGCACTCGTGCCTTCGCTGCACCACTCCTCCTTCGATTCCATCCTCCTTCTCACTAGCAGTCCTCCGTCCCCCCGTCCCCCCCGAGGGGGAACGATATGAGGAACCGGCCTAGGAGGGGGAAACACGGAGCTGGAATCGGTGACACATTGCCAGTAAAGCCTCGATTGCATCACGGCACGTTTTCCTGGGCGGGGCCTGCTACCAGGCCCCCATCGGCAATGACTGAGCCATTGGGGGTCGATGCTTCCCCCACCCTCGAGCCTCTCGTCCCTGAGATGCGCCTGATCTGGAAGAAGAAAAAACGGTATCCGCTGGCCCCCTTTCGGGTCGGGCGAAAGGGGGGGATAGCAAAGGGGGGGGGGAAAATCAGCTCACGTAGCTGATTTTCCCGGCGCCTCCCGGCGCCAGAGGCGGCTATGTATCGAGGAATGGGCCCCTCGGTGAGGCCGAAACCAGCTGCATGCAGCAAATTTCGTAACCCCCCCTTTCCCAATCCCCGCGTTTCGCCCGGCCCGACCCTTGTGGGGCCACCAGGCTGTAGGCTGGAGGCTCGCAGTTTCCTGTGCCAGTTGCAGCTTCCAGTTTCCACTGTCACAGTTGCTTGCTGTTCCTTGTTGCCTTCTTGCTGCTTGCTGTTCCTTGTTGATGGACCGCGCGAGGGGGGGAGGCCCAAAACGTGCATTTCTACCACGCCCAAATCCTATTGTCTGAAATGCTGGGGTGGGTAAACATTGACACCCCTCACGCAGATCGGCGGGGTCAGGGTCCAAAAACACACGGGATTTGCCACATTTCTGAACTTCGGTGGCACCCCCGCAGATCGGCGGGGTCAGGATCCAAAAACATAAAGGACGCCACATTTCTGAAATTCGGTGGCACCCCTCACGCAGATCGGCGGGGTCAGGATTCAAAAACACACGGGATTTGCCGCATTTCTAAAATTCGGTGGCGCCCCTCACGCAGATCAGCTTGGTCAGGGTCCAAAAACACAAACGATTTGCCACTTGGTAGCACCCCTCACGCAGATCAGCGGGGATTTGCGACATTTCTGAAATTCGGCGGCACCCCTCACGCAGATCGGCGAGGTCAGGGTCCAAAAACACATGGGATTTGCTACATTTCTGAAATTTGGCGGCACCCCTCACGCAGATCGGCGGGGTCAGGGTGCAAAAACACATGCTATTTGCTACATTTCTGAAATTCGGTGGCACCCCTCACACAGATCGGCGGGGTCAGGTTCCAAAAACAAGAAGGATGTGTCACATTTCTGAAATTCGGTGGCACCCCTCACACGGATCGGCGGGGTCAGGATCCAAAAACACAGGGGATGTGCCACATTTTTGAAATTCGGCGGCACCCCTCACGCAGATCGGCAGGGTCAGGGTCCAAAAACACATGGGATGTGCCACATGTCTGAAATTCGGCGGCGCCCCTCTCACAGATCGGCAGGGTCAGGGTCCAAAAACACGTGGGATTTGTTACATTTCTGAAATTCGGCGGCACCCCTCACGCAGATCCGTAGGGTCAGGGTCCAAAAACACAAGGGATTGGACACATTTCTGAAATTCGGCGGCACCCCTCACGCAGATCCGTAGGGTCAGGGTCGAAAAAAACACACAGGTCCCGACACTGCTTCACGGCGAAGCCAAAGCCTCATGACTTGGCTCTTCCATGGCGCATTCTCCGAGAGAGGGGGCCGGCGGCAGGGGGCGAAGCCCGCGCGGATTCCGTGGATCTCCGCTGGACCCCACTCCCTGGCGCGCGGAGCGCGCCAGGGGCGGCGCCAGAAGAACGGCAGGGGGGGACCCGGAGCGGATCCACGAAACCCGCGTGGAGCGCCAACAGGTTATGTTTTTTATGGCGGCCGCTCTTCTTCGATGAAACCCCCACCACTTTCAAAGGCCCGTGCAGACTCTGTCAGATCTGCGCTGCATCCCCAGGAGGAGGAGGAGAAGGGGGAGGGGGAGGGGTGAGGGGAGGAGGAGGGGAGGGGGGGAGGAGGGAGGAGGAGGAGGAGGAGGAGGAGGAGGAGGAGGAGGAGGAGGAGGAGGAGGAGGAGGAGGAGGAGGAGGAGTATTTATTATTATTATTATTATTATTATTATTTTTACTCCGCGGCCCGCAGCCTCCCTCCGCCGCAGCACCGAAACCCTGAGGAGGAGCAAGACGAGGGGAAGGAAAGGAGGGGAGGACGGGCGGCCGCACTCATGCGGCAGCCACCTGGGGTCTCAAGAGGAGCCACCCCCAGGAATAAACGCGCCTCGACGATGCAGACGAGCATGTCGAAGCAGTCCTCGAAAGAAAAGGCGCCCGCAGGCGCACTCCCCTGGGGTCTCGAGAGGAGCCACCCCCAGGAATAACAGCGCCTCGAAGACGTCGAGCGAAGCCACAGGCGACATCAAACGCCATGACGAGGCAGCTGTAGGACTTATACCATGATACACATAGGCGCCCAGGAGACCAGAAGGCCTCGAAAAGAAATGAAATGTCAGCACGACGAAGTTAGGTGCCGATCTGCTCGGGCTGCTTGCTGCAAAACGCCACACGCCCCTTCGGGAGAATGCCGCGGGCCAGCTTGCCCAAGTTCTGATGTCCGTAGTGGCCCAGCTGACCAGAACACTCTGTCGCCAAGCCGCGAAGGAAATGCTTGCCAACACACCCACAGCGCAAACAGGCATGGATCTGCAGGTCCTTGAAATAACCCAAGAGGTGGGACTCATGAATCGGAACTCCTTGGACGTGAACTCCAACATCACCCACTCTCTGAATGTGGCCCTTGAGAACTCCTCCCAAGCAGGGCGTCTCCAAGAACCTTTCAAGCTTGCGACCACTCGCGCTGCAACCACAAGCCGAACAATGAAAGGATGTGCCCATGCCTGTGAAGACCTGGTGCTCGGACAACTTGACACGACGACTGAACTTTTTCGCCATGGACCTCGTCGGACGGAAACGTTTGGGCTCCGCCTCCGCCGCAGCCAGAAAAGCCTTGGCCAAGTGTTTGCGGACAGCACGACCGATTGCTTCCGCATGCTCCAAGGACTCCGCTACCGATCTAGGAACAGACACCACCTTTGCCCAATACCCAGCCGCTTCATCAGCTAAGGCGTTAGCTAGGTAGTGTTCGATCTGCGTCCCAGCTTGGATGGCCAACTCGACCGACATGTGGCTCTCGATCTTGACGACGCTGAGCAAGGACGGGTACTGTGCCACCACGTCCTTGACCTGCAGCCAAAGGTCCAAGTTCGTAGTCGGAAGCCGCCCTTGCGAAAGTTTGCGGAGCCCCTTGACCACGTACCCCGAGTCCGTGACGAAAGTGATGGGGACCCCTAAGTCGAGCAGATCTTCAGCAGCCCTAAGCAAGGCCGTCGTCTCACCACGGTTGATGGTCTGCTTCTTGGGGATGCCGCCGCCTCGGGAGAACAACAGCTGGACGTCTAGGTCGGTGTCGGTGGTCACCTTGATAACTTGATATGACCAGCCAATCCGCCGCAACCTAGCATCTGCTGAATGAAGCCCCCCGGACGCATCACCACCAACCAAGAGATGATCGTGCTTCTTGAGATCTTCCTTATGGCCGATGACCTCATCATACGGGTTGTCTGTCGGCTCGTCCACCTTGGTCCAAGGAGCAGGCAATCTGCCCCTCAACCAAAGGCAGGGAAGGTTTTCGTAATCTTGGTGAGCCCTGTTACGCAAGTTCGCAGAAACCGACGAGAACAACCCGTTGCAAGAACATGGCCAACTACGATGCAAATCGGTCTCGTCCAATCCACACTTGCAACGCTGACAGTCGGTGGTGTCCAAATTGCTGCTGCTCAGGGTCGAGATCCTGCTGCGTGTCCACGAAGCTCCCGTCATGACAGTCTCGATAGCGCCTGCCATCTCGTGCTCGCCCTTCTTCTTCAAAGCTGTGAGGTGACGTCGAGCTTCACGAACGTCAGCTCCCTCTTCTAGACCTTTGCCATTCCAATGCCGCGAAGCCTTATCCCAAAGCATACGGTCGATCGTATCAGAGATGGCATCTTTGAGGGCACTCATATCTTGGGGACCTTGACCGATGATATGGTCTGGGGCCATAAACCTTTCGCCAAGATCGGAAATCCATGCCCAGGGCCCCACTGGATCCCAACCGATGTCTAAGAGCGTGGCTATAGTTGCAGATACCACTCCAGTGATGCCTCTCCATCTGTCCTTCTGAGCCCTGCTGTCAATTCGCCTTCGTGCCGTCCTCCATGTGCGACGTGCCAACTCTAGACCGAAGCCTGGTTTGAAGATAATGGACATCCAAGATTCCACCAGCCTGTGCACGATCTGGTACTGAGGGTCCTTGCGGCCGACACGAAGTTGTAACAGAGTGGTGAGGCAACGACCTGGCCATTTCTTTGCCAGAGTCTGTCCCAGAGCTTTCCTCCACCCGTTGATGACCGACGGAGCCGCTCCAAAGACTTTGTCAGAGTAATCAGCCATCGGAAGAACTCCCATCATGGCCAGCTTTGCGCCGATCTTCTTACGAACAGCCCCTTGAGCAAACCGCTTGACGCGAGTGAAACGCTGCTGAGCACCTCTTCGCCGCTGTGCCTGCTTCGGACGCCGAAAACCAACCGCACCTCGATCGATGCCCAAGTCGGTGGCGACACTCTCGATCTTGACCTCGAAGCCCTCCTTGGCGAAGCCTCGTTTTAATTCCTTGCCTAGCCCAGCATTGTTGGTGACGATCGTCGACTTTGCCGATATCACCAAACCGGCCTCAGAGCAACCTTTTGCAAAAGTCAAGCCGGCTTGCAAAGCTAATCCAAGAACTCTTTTGCATCGGCCTTCCACTCTTTGAGAAACATCATCCACCCAAGACCTGACCGTAACACCAGGAGACCCCTGCGCCACTCTGTCCAAGATATTGTACAAAGAACAGCGAGAGAAATCCACTGCGCCGCCAAGTCCAGCAATCATGCTCTGCTCGGGTACGATGGCATCAGAGTAATAACCACTGTCACGGAGGAAACGCACCCCCATGTGTAAAATCATCTCCAAAGCCAAGATGCACGGTGGAAATTCGTGCTCCATACCCGTCTCCAGTAAGAGCTGCCATTTAAGAGCGTCATAAAACCCCTCAATGTCCCACAGCACGCTGGCCTGCACCCAATCCTTAATCGTGGTGAGCGCGACCGTCTCGTCCAGGTAACTGCGAGCTAAGGCCTCACGCAAGGCTGAGGAACCTGCCACTGCTGCATCCCAATGCCCAGCCTTTGCCTTAGTCCAGCTGACACGGTACTCGCCTCGACAACTCGACCAGAGCCTCGCCAAGGTCGATAATATACCAATGGCCCTGTCGTCACCGCTCGGCTTGCGTAGGAGAGTGACCAGAACCACCGTAAGTTGCCAAGGCCATGCCACTGACTGCTCGATAAGTTGAAAAAGCTGGACCAGCTCCTGCTTACCTTGCTCGGGCAGCCAGATGAGGTCCTTCTTCCCCAACTGCTCAATGCCCTTCGCCGAAGTGCCCTTCATCCTTCGGATACCGTCTTCCAGCGCCTCCAAGTCGAAGAGAGGGAAAGCATCTTCACGAGCACGAGCCCTAGCACGTCCCAAGAGTAAGGAGACCTGGCCGATGTCCAGCTGCTGGTCGCTCCACCTCTTCTTCCACACCTTAGCCCGAATACCCATCGCCGTGAGGGGGTCCGACGATATCACCTGGCCTTCCTCGAACTCGTCCTTCGAAGTGGCCTTGTCCTTGATCAGTCTAAACAGCTTCCCAGGTGCCGCCACGTACTGCTCCTCCGCCCATTGAGAGAAAGCCAGATACTGGGAATAACATTCCATCCGCTGCAAGCTGGCCGCAATCTTGCTGCTCTCGTCCTTGTAGCGCCTGATGGTGTCGTTCGTGGCGGTGCTGAGCTGCCGCAGCTTCCTGCACCAAGCTGTTTTCTCCTTGCGAGGGAGAGAGGCCAGGGTCGAAGAAGGAACCCAAGCCGTGGCCTCCCTGAGCCTGGTAATGATCTTCCCAAACCGTGGCGATTCTCGCTTGGAACTGGCCCTGTCCAGCTCCTCCATCAAGAAAGCTATCTTGGCCCACCAGTCCACTCCAGGATCCCGTGTACGCGTAAACGGAGGGGACGGCACCACTTTATGGACCCTGGTAAGCCGAGCAAGACCTCGGCCTCGATGAGCCTTGCTGTCTTTGTCCAGACCCGCACCGTCGAGCAGGTGGCTGAAGAACTCTTCCACCTTGCCAACCCACTCACCGAAGGCAATGCCCAACTTGCCAGCACTATCAGAAGTGAACCGCCATGCGTGGGAGTCCGTGACATACGACGGCGGTTTCGACCAGCGATGATCCTGAGGTATGCTGATGGACGACCAAAGATCGGCACGCTGATCAACTGACCACTTGTCGCCTAAGCCAGCTTCACCCCCAGGAGGGACCAGGCCTTCATCTTGATCCTCTGGTTCGGCAGGTAGAGGCTCGTCGTCGTCGGGCTCGCCCTCATCGCTCTCTGACTCCTCCCCAAGATCCATAGGACCCAAGAAATTGAATGGAGGAGGAGATTTGATACCAAGCCGCCGTCTATCCCCAAGCTTGGCGATCTTCGGTCTCGCTGACGTTGGAGTAGCCACCACCGCCAACTTTCTCGAGCGCTTGCTGTTTGGATCCGCCTGCTTCTTGGGCTGAGGCGGAGGGCCAAAAGCCTTGGATAAGCTGAGAGTTCGTCCCTCAGCTGGCTTGGCATTCAGAAGTAGACCCAAGACAATACCGTAATGTGCTTTGCCGCCTTCGCCCACTAAGTCAGTGTCGGCGCGAATGCGGTCCAGGTACTCCAGGGCAGGCCCTGAGGCCACAACATAGTCTATGAGCGTGCCCTGCCCTCCAGTGTACGTGTAGTCCACGTTGTCTGCCACCAGGATATTGCCTTGGACCAGATTGAGCCACCCGGCCTTGCGAAGGGTATCTGGAGGGAAGTTCCAGTCGCATAAGATAACCCAAGGTGTCGATAAAGAAGAAACGAGTGAGGCCAAATGCCTGAGTTTCTCCACGTTGGCGCCCGTGATGCCCAACCCATTGTAGAGGCAGCCTCCGATTATCGTGAGATGTGCACCTTTCAAGAGCACCTGCATCCCGACCAAATCCTTAAAACGAACTCCAGTGGTAAGAGCCGCCACGTCCTTCTTGCCTTTATCTGCTCGCTTACCAGGTAGCTCGTCCTTGTTGGAGGCCAAGTGTCTGAGTGACCAAGAAGACCATTTCTTTGAGACTCCCATCGCGACACCACCAGCTTTCTTCGTGAAGATAGCAGACTCAGCACCCGCTGGGCACACCATACTTTTGTAGCCAGCTTTATCAAACTCCACCAAGACGTCATTGGTTTCGTCCATGTCCATGTGGGTCTCCTGGATGATGACCGCGTCGTGGGACCGCTTCAACAGCGCCTTAGCCGAGGTACCCCAGGTCGACATGTTGCGCATGTACACCCAAAACTGTGCACCAGCATCTTTGTCAGCCTTCGCCTCCTTCTCGGTAACCTGAGTGACCCCCATAGCTTGTATGACCCAGTCCCAGAAGATGCACATTCGATCCTGAGCCTGATCGTCCTCCATGTCGTCGTCATCGCGGTCAGGAAGGTGACGATCTGGAGGAACTCGATTCCCGAGAAGGCGTCGAAACCGTCGGCGCAGCTCACTAAGGTCGTCGAAATGCCATCGCAAGAATCTCCAGTAGTGCCTAGGGGTCCTGATGGAGTTGAGCGCGTTGAAAAATAGAGCCCTGTGCGGCTCCGCTGTGACCCAAGAGCGCGTGCATAAGTGTTCTGCGATGTCCTGCAACGACATGCGGTAGTAATTCTCCAGGTTCTGACGGAGGCCGCGCTTAGACCGACGTGAGAGCGATGCAATAAAGTACGGAACACACCACTCCTTCCAATGCTCCAAAGAATTGCAGCGCTCGCCTCTGATGTCGTGGACCCACCTGGCCGCAGATGCAGTCATTTCATACCTAAGGTCTCGTCGCTCTCTGGCTCGATCCACTCGAGGGGGTTGAGGAGGTCGTGGCCGTCGACCTCGAAGTTCAGAGCCTAAGTCAACGTAGAGCTCCCAGGTAACCTTCCAACCACTTACCTCAATCGTGCCCTCGATGAGAAGGAGACTGCCGTGCTTCGCGAACAGAGACCTTTCCTTGCCAACCGAAATCGGTGGCCAGTTTCCAACACGAGCCAGCCCAGCAAGTGGCAACGACGAACCTGGGTGTCCAGGATTTTGCGATCTGACACCATGTCCAGAGAAGGACAGAAGAGGTGGCGACATTGAACCTGGCGAACCAGGATTTTGCGAGCTAGCACCTCGATTTCCCCCCCGGCTTGGAACATGACGACGTCGTACCTGGGTGTCCAGGATTTTGCATTCTGACGCCCGCCTGGAAAGAATCTGCCTGTGCCGTCGACTGAGAGAGCAAGGTGCCGTGGTCGAAATGGTGAATTGCCTCAAGGTGCTGCAGTGGCTCAAGCTGGTCTGTCCAGGAATCTTGAAAATTGACGCTGTCAAAAGTACGAAATAACTTCGAACCATGCCAGTGCCAAGCAGGGGTCTCAAGTGGAGCCACCCCCTGCGAATAGAGACTGTTGAGACTGCTGTTCCCATCCATCGAAACAGGGGTCTCGAAAGGAGCCACCCCCTGCATCCCACTATCTTGGTAATTGAAATAGCTACCACCAGAGAGCCCAAGAGGGGCTGCCAATTGAGAAGCACGATCGTCCCAGATGAAACAGGCCTGGTCCTCCCAGATCGTGCCAAGGGTCCCGAGAGGGGCCACCCCTTGGTAAGTATGCTCCCCCAGCGTGCTGTAGAACGTCTCTGGCAAGAACTTGCCAGGGGTCCCGAAAGGGGCCACCCCCTGGTTTGCAGTCTCATCCGTGGAGCTGTAGACCGTGGCCTCCCAGTCCGTGCCAAGGGTCCCGAAAGGGGCCACCCCTTGGTATGCAAGCTTATCTGTGGAGCAGTAGATCGTGTCGTTACCGTCCGTGCCAAGGGTCCCAGGAGGGGCCACCCCTTGGTATGCTAGTAAGCTGCCGTCGCCCTGGCCGACGTTCGTGACAGGGGTCTCGAAAGGAGCCACCCCCTGCAATAAACTCGTGCCGCCGAAGTCCAGGCCAGGGGTCCCAAGAGGGGCCACCCCCTGGAATAGCCTCCTGGATGTCCAAGTTGCTGCCGTACTTGTAGTAGATCTGCCCAACGTGCCCTCTTCACTGGCCTCCCCCTGTGCTGCTACCTGCCCAGGACGGGGCGGGAGCCAGGGATCGGCCGAGGGTGGGCTGCTAAACTGTCGACTGCTTGCCAACTGCATCTGCCCTCTTCCTGGCCAACGCCTCGTCCATGATGGTGCGGAGCTCTGTCTGCTTGCCGTCGACCAAAGGAGAGACACTCGCCCAGGGAGATTTGCCAGCCGCCGCTGTCTGTGTCGGTGCCGTAGGTGTGGAGGGAGTGGCCCCCACCGCAGGGCCTGCGGCTGAAGCAGCCGCCGTAGCCGCAGCGCCACCTGCTTCAGCTGGTCCTCCTTCGCCAGGCTTGGCCGCCGAAGCAGGCGGGCACGAACTGGACTTGCGCTTCTTGGCCTGGTGCCAAGATCCGATCTCCTCCACCTTCTTCTGCTGCTGCGAGGCCAAATTCTCCACCACCTTGCGGAACTGCGAGTCCAAAGCCGCACGGAACTCCGCCTCGAAGGTGCTCTTGCGCCGCTCGAACTCCTCGCGATCGCTATCCTCAAGGTCCACGTCATCGAAGAGCCCCCCGAAGCTGAGGTTGAGCTCCGCCTTCTGGTCCAAGAACTGACGGACGTCCAACTTCCCCAACTCAGATGGAGACGAAGGCGGCTCAGGCGCCAGCTCTTTGGCCACGAGCTCCTGCGCCACAATAGCATCTGCCAAGTTGCTCGCACAATCTCGGTAGAGTCCCATGGCTTCTCCCAGCTCTTGCTCGAGACGGAGGACACGCTTCGCCACCTTGTCCATGCTGGCCTCGGCCCGCTCGACCTTCTGCGTCGCCTCCGAGAGCCTGATAGATGCGGGCTTCGGTGGTGCAGCAGCGGGGACTTGATTGACCAAGGTATCACGGAGTAGCTTTGCCTGCTCAGCTGCTGCACCTCCCTTGGCGATGATGCGCTCCAGGGCCGCCGTGTCCCGGTCCGAAGTCCCAGAGCCGTGAGCTGCATCTGCTGGTTGCGGTGCTCCACCTCCTGTTCCTGTGGGCTTACGTCCTTTGAGGAAACAGCCGCAGTACTGGCAGGTGTAGTCGAATTTCTCCAACAAGTCATTGTAGCAGAACTTCCCACAGACTTTGCACCAGGTCGCATCCCGTCCAAGCTTGGGAAGAGCAATGCGCTGCGAAATGTTCTGTCGAAGATCCGCTCGAGGGGTCGCTGGTCGCCAAGGCTGCATCGTGAAGTTGCCGTATGCGTTCGAGCTACCATTCCCAAGACTGGGCCACTGGTCGCTGAGAGACATACTTGCGCCTGCCGAGGTCGAAGACTGATACCACGGCGCTCTGCTCTGCCAAGACTTGTACTGCTGACGCCCTCCTTTCCCCATGAAGCAAGAATATGTAGTAGGAAACCTGTGGTGATCAGGCTCCTGAAAGCAATTGAAGACTGGCTGCGGACTAGCAGCTTCCGAGTTGGCACGGAGGCGCGGAGCCCCCTGAGTGCAGTCATCTTGAGCCAAAATGGCTACGGAGGAGGAGGAGGAGGAGGAGGAGGAGGAGCCCCCCCCCCTGGCGCGCCGCCGCGGCCAGGGGGCGGCGCGGGCCCGGCCGGCGCCGCTGGCTTTCATGGCGGAGCTCGCGCCCATGCGTGGTTGCCTCCTCCTCCTCCTCTCCTCTCCTCCTCCTCCTCCTTCCTCCCTCCCCTCCTTTTCTCCTTCTCCTCCTCCCCCTCCTCCACCTCCCTCCTCCTCCTCCTCCTCATCCTCCTCCGCCTCCCTCCTCCCCCTCCTCCTCCTCCTCGCATCCGCATCCGTGCACACTGCCACCCACTGCTCACGCGCTGCGGCCGGCGCGCGGCTTCTGGACTTCGGCCCTCCTCATCCTCCCCACGGAGCCTTCACGGGTTTCACGGGTGGGCTGCGCACGACATGGGTTCACGGAGAGAATGGGTAAGATGCTCGACAGCGAGTGTTGTCCCACACCGACAGCGGGCACTGTTGGGTAGGCAGCATTTTTGCCTTCAGTGGACACAGGCCGCAGCGATGGCGACAGCAAGTCCCGTTCAAGATGAACAGGAATTACTGTTGGTCTCTGTGCCCATTCTTTCGGTACCCATTGAGCATCGTCTAACTGATCCCTATCCCCACCGGTGT